ATAACATTACATACCTTTCCATTAATTGTACATCGGGTCTGAAAAAGGGAGTGTCGTTGAGGAAAAGAATCTGTCTTTAGTGTGAGTAAGATCCTTTCGAGAATACATGAGAGTTGTTCTCCTTCATCAGGTTCTAGAAACAACCTCTCTTCACTCTCCCCCTGATTAATATCTTGTTCAACATCCTCGGCTTCATCCATGATATGAATAGCTCGTCTTTGTGGGCATTCACTGGATAAATGCCCTGTTTGACCACATCTGAAGCACCTTCCCAATGTAGGTCGGGTATAGGCATTCCCAGCTTTCTTAGTAGTGTAGTTCTAGCTTGATTTGGTTTCCTCAGCCGCCTTACCCTTAGAAGTAGAAGCTGTGCCTTGGTTGAAAAGTTTATCAGTTGTAGGAGTTACCTTTTTAGCTATTTCATTGGTAGCCCGCCGCTGATATTGATTCTTGTATTTGCTGGTAAGTTGTTCTTCTATAGTCACAGCAGTAGCAATGGCTTTGTTGAGGTAGCCAATAGGTTGAATTTGAATCCGTTCTTTGATATCAGCACGGAGACCGCCGATAAATCTTGCTACCTGGTATTGATCATTTTCACCTATATTGGTTCACGCCCCCAACCTATGAAACTCTTTCGTGTACTCAGTAATGGATCTTGACCCTTGATGGCAGGTTTGGTATTGATTATAAAATACCTGTTCATAATTGATAGTAAAAACCGAGTTCGCATCAACTTTTTCATTTTTTCCTACACCCGAATGGGATGTTTTCCAAATCGGTGGCGGTTGGTTTCAAGCTGTTCCCACCAAGCTGAGGCACCCCCCTTTAATTTTAGGGCTACCGGTTTTGCCTTTTTGTGGTCAGGGGTATTCATGTATTCAAAGAAACTCTCTACATTCTTGATCCATTCAAGAAAACCCTCGATATCGAGTTTGCCATCAAAGGTTGGTAAATCAACCTTCATCTTGTAGTCAGTTGGTTCCCTTTGGTGTTGGTTGTAATACTGATTGCCTCGCCGGCCTAATGCCCAATCTGGGATGTCGTCTTCATCACTTGATGAGTCAACTATCAGTGCTCTATTTCGATTAGGGCCATGCTGCCTATAGGTGGGATTATAAGACCTACGGGGTTCTTGGTATTGTCCGAGGTTAGGGAATAGTTCTTGAATCATACCTTGATTATCTTGCAGAAAATCGTGGCCAGAATTGGTGTAGAAGGATTTGTGTGGCCATGGGAAAGGGAAATTTGGGATGGGATCTTGGATTGGGAGGGGTTCTTGGCGCAATCTTGGTGCTGTTTGCTTATCATCATCATCGGTCTTGATCCCTTTGTCTCGCGCCTCCTTCCCTTTGTTGCTTCTTGGTTGGTCTTGATGGAGATGAAGGTAATCCAGCTTGTCAACAATTTAATACAGAATCTGACGAATCTCTACCACATTCCTTTGGAGATTTTCAACATCTCCTTCAACCATCATTAATCGATTGGTTGAGGTTCGTGGAGAGAGGACGAGAGTATCTTCTGTCTCTTTTCCGGCGAGAGAGGGATCTCCTACTGTAGGAGCAGATTTCTTCCCCGCCATTGTGAAAAGCCCAAGATTCTTGGAGCTTTGATACCAACTTGGTGTAGGCAATTGAGAGATTTTATTGGATAGAGTAGTGATCAACTACAAATGAAGGATGACTCCTATTTATAGAAGAATGGGCCTCGAATAGAAACTAGCCGTTAGGCTTTTAACCAAGTAACAACTTATAACTAACAATTAGGATTGATAACTATCAAACTTAAAGAAATACAGCTATAAGATTACATCGAATTGCCTTTGATGATCTCCCTACAATATACACAACAAATACTGATTTTAAGGATATCTGGGGTAAATGTCTAGATCTTAGTCAGTCCGGGGACTTACATATAGTAAATGGGTACTTGTTTAAAGGAGATCAATTGTGCATACCCCATACCTCTTTGCGAGAAGTCGTTATCAAGGACCTCAATGCCAGAGGATTGGTTGGACATTTTGGCTGAGATAAGACTCTTCACCTCGTAGCCACCAGATTTTTTTGGCCTTAGTTAAGAAAGGACGTTATCGGTTTTGTCTCCAAATGTTTTAAACAAATATGGGTACCAAACAAAATACTGGGTTATACATTCCTCTTCCTACACCCAAAACCATTTGGGAGGATTTGTCAATGGACTTTATCCTCAGGCTACCTAGGACACAATATGGGTTTGATTCTGTATTGGTTGTAGTAGATCGTTTTAGTAAAATGACACATTTTCTTGCATGTAAAAGGACTTCAGATGTTGTTTACGTGGCTAATCTCTTTTTCAAGGAAGTTGTTCGCCTTCATGGCATTCCAAAGTTTATTTTCTCTGATAGGGATGTTAAGTTCCTCAGCCACTTTTGGAAAACTTTGTGGTGCAAATTCGATACATCCCTCAAATATAGTACTGCCAACCATCCACAAACGGATGGGCAAACAGAGGTGACTAACCACACACTTGGGAACATAATTCGCTGCCTTTGCATGGACATACCGAAGCAATGGGATTTAACACTCGCCCAGGCCGAATTCGCTTTCAACCACATGAAAAACAGAACAACGGGGAAGCACCATTTGAGATCGTTTATACCAAACTTCCTTGTTTAACTGTTGACTTAACTAATGTTCCTTCTTCTGTTGATTTTAGTTTGGAGGCAGAAAAAGTGGCTGAACGGATAACAATTACACCAGGAAGTATATAATCACATTGAAGAAGCCAATGAAAAGTACAAAAAGGCAGCGGACAGCAAACGATGGGAACAAGACTATAAGGAAGGAGATTTGGTGATGATACATTTGACAAAAGGCAGATTGCCCACTGGTTCTGCTCATAAGTCGCAGAAAAAGAAATTTGGCCCGTTTGAAATCTTGAAGAAATACGGCCCCAATGCATACAAAGTGAACCTCCCTCCAGACTTCAATATCAGTCCCATCTTCAACGTTGCTGATATTTATCCCTATGAAGCTCTGGATACTTTTACTTTGGCAGCTTAAACTCGAGGCCGAGTTTTTTTAGGAGGGAAATTGATGTAACTAACTCTTCTTAAGTTAGTTAGTTTAAGTTGTTGGTTAGTTAGTAGCCTATTCTTCTTTTACCGTGGCCTTCATATCTATAAATAGGGGCCTCTTTTGTATGTTTAAGTCGAGTGTTTCAAGTTAAGAATTTTCTTTCAATTGGTTTACACCAGAAACCTTTATTTCGGGGGGGCATTATGTGAATTTAAGAAATAGAGACTTTGTAGTGAAAGACTTCTTACTGTCTAAGGTCCACTGTCCTCCCCTCTCTCCTCCCGAAAAGAACAAAGCAACTCTGTCAAGGAGAGAATACTGTCAAACTCGGACTCTCTAAAACCCCTTTTGAAGTTTAGGTTCTAGTCACATCGGGCTTCGTCCCAACAATCTGCCACAATAGCATCTTTCTTGTGCGAATGGTTGAAAAGATTCGGGTAGGAACGGTCAAGAGGGGAGTCTGTCAACCAAGCATCCCTCCAAAATCTAACCCTTTGTCCATTTCCTTCTTTAAACCAAATGAAACTCAAGAAAGAGGCACTAAACTTTGCAATATCAGACCAAGGGCTTTCAAAAGCTTTCCCTTTTGGAGGAAGGGATGACCAATCGTGCAAACTCTCGTCATATATACTTGCAACAGTCCTTCTCCACAAGGCATCCCTTTCATTCAAGAATTTAGGGCCTCAGCCCATGGTATTTGTGAAGGGATATGGATAAAAAGTTTATTGCGACTACAAGGCTGTCATCTCCATAGTCCACAATCTAGTCCAACATGATAGGACTAAGCATATTGAAATTGACAAATATTTCATAAAGGAAAAACTGGACACCGATTTGATATGTATCCCTTACCTCCCAACAATAGAGTAGATTGCTGATGTGTTGACAAAAGGACTACAAAAGTACAATTTAACAGGATGATTGATAAGTTGACAATGAAAGATATCTTTAAATTAGCTTGAGGATGAGTGTTGGTTTATTTGTGAATATTAGCTGTAAATATTAATTTATTAATTGTTATTCTTATTTCCTTTTATGTATTGATTTTTATATCCTTTTATGTATTGAGCCTTTCTCCTATATAAAAAGGCTATGTATTTCTTACTTTTGATATATTGGAATACAACTATTTTACTCCATCTAAATCAACTGTATTAAACTCACCAGAAGGTTCGAACTTGAGATCTAAAAGCCAGTATGACCAAACGATCCCAAGGCCTTGCTAACTGGGCTGCCCCTTGAGGGCGTCTCCTGCTCCTTAGTAAAATTGATTTGGAGCTCTAAGGACATAACCTGGGCTTCTTTAAATGCAATGGATTCGTTGGCGGTACCCTCGTTACGTGGAAGGAGGCCTACTTTAGTTATTAAGGAAGTGATGGAATGGAAGGCTCTTTCTCCTTGTCTATCTCTCCCTCTCTGAGATGGTTTCTCTAATGTTTTGCCTCTGGCTTACTCAGGGGAGAGTTTGGGAAGGAGTTTTAGGACCTCCTATGGTTTATGCGTCCCATTTTGCTTGGTTCCATTGGGTTGAAAAGAGAAGTCCTATATGTACGTGGGAGGATTTCAATTAGCCTTGGTATTGAGATTCCAGTCCATGTAGGAAGGAATCCTTTTGTAATTATCCTTTCTCCATTCTCCTTTTATGATTTTTGGGGATTTAAATCTAAATTATTTTTGTAAATATTTCTTCTTTGTTTTGATGACCAAATGGAGAGCCTTTTTCTAATTTTCTTGGTATCTGTACATCCTTCACTTGTACTTCTCGATGTCTCATGGGAAAGTCTTTTGTTTCTTAGCAAAAAAATGATGGGCAGTATTACCCAATTCTGAAACAAGAAAGATGGACATTTCTTGTAACGAAGATGATATATTTATTTATTGTGATTTCTCAGCAGGTAAACTTAAACTTTTCTGTTTGGTTCACAGTGATTTATTATTTTCTTGCAGATTGTTGATGTTCTTGAGTTCATGCCTTCTCATGTGGCGGTAGTTCTTTTTCCCTTGGTGCCCTTTTTGATTATGTTATTGTAAAAATTTGTTGATTTTCTTGATTTTTTATGTAAAAGTTTATTTGAGTGTCTCAAGGAACACACGATTACTTTATTATGTAGGGTTAAGTAGCATTTGGTCCTCAGGTTTTAGTTCTGCTTTCATTTGGTGCATAAGTTTTGAAATCTTATGTTTTTCTTATGAGGTTTTAATAATGCCTCATTTTGTCTCAACTTTTAATTTTTTGTTTATGGAAAAATGATAGTGACTTTTTCTAATATTGTCTTAAGTTGATGTGGCGGTATTTCATTTTTTTGTGTGACAAAATAATTTTATTTGATTTTTTTTGAAACAAGAGACAATTTCATTGATGTAATGAAAAACAGAAATAAAACATAGAAGAAACAAAGAAGAAAACTTGAAAAAACTAAAACTGCCCGAATACAAGGGCCAAACCGAACCATATAAAGACTCCAACAAACAAAAATAAAAGCTTCTCAGTTTAGACAAATATCAAGAGAGTTATAATCCAAAAAGACATTAGAAAGGGAACACCATGATGCTTTTTGAGAAGCCAAGTCAAACTGAACCGACCGAGGAACTGCAAAACTTGTTTTGAAAGATTCTATGGCTGCGTTCCAACCATAATTTTAAAATAATGACTTGGACCATAATAAATGAGCTTTTGGAGGTAAGATGACCCAACCAAGAGGTCAAAACATTAGCTTGGTAGTCATTCGTGAAGACCCAAGGAATCCAAAATCTTTTAAAGAAAGGGAACTAGCAATGCACGGAGAAAGATCATCCAAAGAAAATGTGATTGTGGTCTTCAGAATCTGCAAAAACAGAGGAAACAAATACAAGGCAAAAGTTGAAAGTGAGAAAGGTTCCGTTGAAGGATATCTTCCGTGTTTAAGCTGCTGTTTAAGAGCATCCAGATCAAAATGTTGATTCTTTTAGGACAATTAGTCTTCCATAAGGCTGAAAAAATATTTTTCTGCATTGGGGAAGGCTTAAATAAATGGCTGAAAAGTGAGTTTACTGAGAAGTTCTCTGACGAATCCAAATTCCAGCTAAGGTTGTCTTTAACCGAAAAGAGTTTGATAGGGTCCAAGAATTCCAGTAAGCTGCTAAGTTCGGCAATTTCTTCATTTTTTAAGTGTTTCCTATAAGAGATAAACCCAAGAAAGAAGATTCTGATCCCATAAATCAGCATCAAGACCTGAAGGATGTAAAACCACCTATAAATAAGTTAAAAATGCAATTTGAGAGGAAGAACATCTAACCAACGATCATGCCAAAAAGAACTCTTGTACCATTGCCAACGGTAAAAGATAAATGAAGATTCATCTTCCCCCAAATTCTAGAGTTGCTACACCAGGTACTATGCAAAGATGCGTTTCTTCTTTCAACCGTGTGCCAACCTTGAGACTCTAAGCCATAAATGCTTGAGATTACTTTGTGCTAGAGACTATCTGTCTCTTTCATAAAGCGCCAACCCGATTTTGCTAGAAGGGCAATATTCATTTGTTTCAGACCAGCAATCTCTAGTCCACCATCCGAAAGGGATTTTGAAGTGATAGGCCAACGAACCAAGTGATTTACATTGCCACCTTCATGCTCTTCCTAGAAGAAAATGCATAGTTTCTTTTCTATCTCATGGACTACCTTTGAAGGCATAAGGAAAATAGACATGTAATATGACGAAATATTTGAAAGTACTGAGTTGCATAGAGCCAACCTACCTCCACTCGAAAGACTGAAGTGCTTCCATCTCTCCAGCTTCTTTGAAATTTTATCTATAATCGGCTGCCAAAATGATGTTGATTTTGGGCTACCACCAAGAGGAAGACCAAGGTACTGAAAATGTAAAGAGCAAGCACGCTCACTCCCACACCAGAAAATCATTTAAAAATACTCTCTCCCCCACCCCAACCATGCCCACCCCCACACCAGCACTTCTACACCAGCACCCCCACCCTCGGTGTCAATTGGTTGTCCACCCCACACCAGAATCCCCACCATGGGTCCCTTAGTTGGCCCTACCCTCGCCGCCACCACCACCATAGCTTCAAATCTGAAAATTTCTTGATTTGGGGATGAGGGGTCTGAGAAGGGTTAGATAAAAGGGGCGTAACTGTTGGGGAGTTAATAGCTGTGGGGGTGGCAGGTGCAGGGCAGGGGAAGAGAGAGTGTCGGGCGCACAGTGTATTGGGGAAGAGAGGGGCCGTTGGGGATGGAGAGAATATTTTTAAGTAACTTTTTTTGTCACATAAACAAAAACAACTGTAAAACATTGTTAATTATCATAAGAAAGTATGTAAAAAAGCCGTATCAATTTTTGGTTAAGGGAGCTAACAAATAATTAATAGTAGGGACCAAAATAGAGTCTTATTGAAACCTCAAGGGCAAAAACATAAGATTTTGAAATCTAAGGAACAAATGAAAACTAATCTCTAACCTTAGAGACCAAAAGGATATTTATCCCTATTATAAATTGGTTAGATTAGCTAAGAATTCTATGATGATGTCAGTTTAATTGGTTGCCAATTGGTAATTAGGACTGCAAGTGTGTGTAGTGTAGAATCCTTCATCCATCGGTTAATGCTCATGTTTCATAACTGAACATAACTAACTAACTGGCCTTTTCTGTGGTTTGGTGTTTAGTTTGTGCATTTCAAAAGTGTTGTCTTAACCATAGATGCTATAGCAATATTCATGTACACATTCTCCATGTTGTGCAGGTTGTGTTCGACCATGATGGTAAGATACAAGATACAAAAATCGTGTCATATTACTGATTTCTAAAAGAACACGTATGTGCTTGTATTCAATTAAGTTTCTTAGATTTGCAATTTTTGTAATTATCTACTTGCAATCTTGCATGTACTTTATACGACAAAGAAGTACTACATGGACACACAACACGGATACGACACAACATGGACATGGCGACACGTCAATTTTCAAAAAAGTAGGACATGATACGTTAGGAGACACATTAATTTTTTTTATATTAAAATATATCAAATATTAACGTAACTATTTAATATTTAAATAAAAAATTGACTTAAATACTTTTAAAAAAGTAGAGATATTTAGAGAAAAAGAGGACTTATTTATTTATTTATTTTTTATTAAGAAATATTGCAAGAAAAAGGTATTATGACCAAAGTTTATAAAACACCCTTGAATAATCTCATCTGTTAGTCTTGGAAAGACATAATTATTGGAAGATAAAACTTGCCACTTGTTAGTCATGGAGGAGAGATATTGTATGCACTTCTGACTTTTCTTTTTATTTTTATTCTTCTTTTCTATCTCTTTTTCTTCTCATTCTTCTAAATTAAATTTTCTTGCTTATTCTTATTCTTCTTGTATTATTCATTTTCTTCTTTTGACCTTCTACTTTCGACTCATCCTTTGCTTTCAACTGTTCTTATTTCGATTCTGCCTTTTTTTTTCTCTTTCTTTTGGATCCTTCTTCTTTTGACTCATCCGAAAGGGAGAAACTGAAGCATGGAGAAGATTTTGCGTGGGTAGTAGAATAGGACGGTTGAATTGGAGGAGATTTCGCGTGGGTGGAGAAGCTTTCGTGGAGGTGGACTCATGGGTAGTTGAAAACCAAAAGGAAATGGAAAACCTAATGGTTTGGTAGGCTTGACACAAGTACAACGACACGTCAATTTTCAAAAAATTAGGACACGATACATTAGAAACATGTAAAATTTTTTTCTTATAAAAAATATATTTATTTATATTACATATTATCCATATTTAATACTTTTAAAGTAATGTTTACCTTTAAACATCAACATAAATACATAATACTTAATTTTTAAAAAGAAAGATATATTAACAAAACAAATTAATATTTAATAAAGAAAAATCAAACTTACTCAACATTTAACAAAATTTTACTTGTAATAGACTTGGAGAATTTTATAAAATGTTTAGTGACTGCCATCTGGAAGTCATGAAGGAAGTCTATTTATTGGGAGAGCAATTCAATGAAGGAAGTCTATTTCTTAGGAGAGCAAATTCGTCATTCATGGAGGGAAATACTTCATGCACAATCATTAGGAGAGCAAATTCGTCATTCATGTGACTGAGCGCTAGGTGGCGTTTGAGAACTGACAAAGACGTCAATGGGAAAGAACGAACGGCGATGGAGAACAGACTGAGACGTTGTCGTGAAAGAATGGGCGGCTAACGGCTTCGTTGGAGGAAGGCAGATGGTGGAAGGCAGATGAAGAAAGGAAAGGAAATGGATGCGTTGCAAAGAGAACGACCCGAAGATGAAACCCTAACGACTCGAAGAGAATACATCAGAGAACAACGGCGAAGGTGATGGCGAGCGGCAACGATGATGATCGGCAACGTTGATGGCGGGAGGGCGCGACGGCTGGAGGGCGGCAACTACCCGAGTTAAGGTTCGGGTTACAAGGGTTCTCTAACTGCAAGGCAGATATCATCCTCACACCTCTAGGTTGCTTGATGCTAGTTGTAACCATGGTGGGGTTGTTACTTGTGATAATCATGCACTTGGGCAAGGGCATCGATATTACTTTGTGTTCGATAAGGAATTCCATTCTCACTACAACGTCAAAGTCATCCATGTGGACCACTACCAAATCAACACGCCCTGTCCACATCCCTAATTTTAAGGATACTCTTTTAGAAACTCCCACAATGGGTAGAGCTTTAGAATCAACAGCCTTCATCTTGCCAGTTTCTTTATCAATGGCCAATTCTAGTCGGCAGACTTCTTGCTTAGTTATGAAGTTATGGGTTGCACCCGAGTCAACCATGGTGCTCTCAACAAGTTTGGAGTTGATCGTAGCATCTACGAACAWAAGCCCTTTCTCAGGCGTTCCTTTAGGTCCATTGACCTTCATTTGGATAGCATAGAGAAATTTCAACGCCCCCATTTTGGGTGTTTTCCCATTTTCTTCCTTCTCACACTCAGTCTCGGTTTCTGGCTCACTACACGACTGAACAGACACTTAAAGGGTAGTAAGGGTTGCTCGATGCGGGCATTCAGCTATCTGGTGAGGGCCCTTGTATAGGAAACATGATATTGGCCGCTGAGCATTGGGGTTTTGTGGATACTGCCCTTGAGATGGACCGACATTTGAGCCCTATGGTCTCGTCGACTCCCCTACTCTTTGGAGTATAAGGTTTGAACATCTTGTTACCCCCAGTGGGGTTTGAAGCGTTTTTCTTCGGTTGAGATGGCTTGCTGCTATAATCTAGCATTCCGCAGCGGCCATGGCAGTGGCGAGTTCCTGCACCTTCTGTTCGTATAACTTTGTTATGGCCCATGGTTTTAGTCCTTCGACAAAGATGAATACTTTGTCTTTCTTTGACATATCACGAATATCAAGCATCACAACAGTGAACTATTTCACATAATCCCAAATGGTTCCAGTATGTCTAAGTTCATGTAACTTCATTCTAGCGACGAACTCAACATTTTCGAGGAAGAACTGAGCCCTCAACTCTTTGTTGAGGTCATCCCATGTATTTATCGTAAATAGACCATTCTAGATATCGTTGATCTTAGATTTCCACGATAGCCTTGCATCGTCAGTAAGATAAATGGTGGCTTCGGTCACTTTCGTTTCTTCTGATGTTGTCCTAGTAGCCTTGAAGTATTGCTCAATATTAAACATGAAGTTCTAGAGAACCTTCGTATCTCGATTTTCGTTGAAGGGTTTGGGCTCTGGGACCTTAAATTTGTTGAACCCCATGGTCACTTGGTTGGGAGTCTGATTTCCCATAGCTCGCATGGTCAGATTAACTTTTGTATTGATTTTTGCCATTTAGCTCTGAGGGTTTCTATAGTCACTTTGACGTCCTCAGTCATTTCATTAAATAGTTGTATATTTTCATCTATCAATGAAAAGTTGTTTCTTATTAAAAAAAAATAAATTAAATAGTTGCATCATTGTTGACTGCGAATGGTTTAACTCACCCATACGCACTTCCATTTGGGTGGTTGGGTTTGCGGAGTTGTCTTCACGTACAAAGCTATCGGGACGCGTAGCTTTACTTTTAGGGCCTCAACCTTTGCAGCTAATTCTTGTATCTGTAGCCCATCTACTCGGGCGTTCACAACATCTATTTCGCCAACCTTATTGGAGAACTCATCGAATCGCGTCTCCAGCAGACGGAGGATATCGGGGCTTCCCTTAGATACAACAATTGTTCTTCAATCTCAACTAGTCGGTCGACATGCGACTTGCTCAATTGCTTTGCCGCCAATAGGGTTTTGGTTTTTATCGAATCGAGGAGCTAACCTAGTTCTGATACCACTTGTCACAATTGCACTTCTTTTTAACGGGCCAAGCGATTGTGCGACATTTGCTTTAGCTCAAATAAGCAAGTTAGCTGAGAAAAATCGTAAGTCGCGGACAATCTTGGTCAATGGTCCAGCCTTTGCTCACATTTTACGAGACAACGGTTATATAAAACGCGAAAGAGAAAATAGTTGAAAACATCCTTAAAACAAGCATCATAGATTGGAGGCGAGAAAACTTGATTGCAAAAAAGTATATAACACTTGGTCGGGGGGAGGTTTGATAACTACTTGGTCCCCTTTCTCATTGCATGCGAGATACAACTATGCCTGTCATTATTCTTGGCTTTGTTATGAAAGATATGATACATTCTAAGGCATTTTTGGTGTGGCAGGAGTAGACATGCAAAGGAGTTACTCGGTGGCCTACATGCCACGTGTGAACTTTGATTGACTTGAAACCTATTGTGCTTACATAATTTTCTCATACACACCTAGTTCCAAAGCCGCTCAACCAAATTCCTCCTACAATCCTAAAAACCCGGTACAAGCAAAATACACTAGAAAGCTTAAAAACATGAAAATAGAGTACGTCGTGAGGATGGTTTGGATATGCGACCATGGGTAATACACCCTGGACAAGCATGCCCATGACACAGGGTACGTGCAGATTGCAAGTCAACACGCAAGGAGGTTTCACGAGGCTGGTGGGTGTGTGCAGAGGGCATTGCCGTGCGTGGACGGGCATCTCCATGCGAGGTTAGTGTGCTCTTTTACGGCGTTGAGTGTGCTGTGGTGCGCTCCTCTTGTCGTGATGTGGTTTGACGAACTTGTTGCCAAATATGATCATATCATCTCCTTCTTGAAAAAGATTTGTTCTCAAATCAACTTTGTAACCTACACGTAAAGGAAGCAAGTTAGTAACTTCAAACTCAAGATGTACAGTAAGATTTGAACCTAAACATAAAGGAAGCAAGTTAGTAACTTCAAACTCAAGATGTACAATATACTTAACTTGAAGAGCTCTCTTGAAGTCCTTTGGTAACGACGCTCTCGTTGGCCTTCCTCTGAATTTCCTTTTAAAACATCTTCATTTTTTTCAAAAAATGCTTCTAAACCCAATCATTTGGTTTATTGACTTTATGCTTGGGTTTCGTTGTCTGCCACATGGTGCTTGGCATTTTGATTCTCTAACCTAACAATTGATGTTCTTGGCCATAACATTGTTTTGAGGACCTTTTGGATAAGAACTCCTCCATGATTCTCGACCATAGTATTACTTGTCCATGATCACCCATACAATAAGGAAACAATTTAGTATTGTCAAAATCAATGTTTATTTTATATGTACCTTGTAAGGTGATCTCAAGATCATGTGAAATGGGTCGAACGAGTTCTTTTGGCTCTATCTTGTAACGGCTCTCCCTAGTTTTCAGCTCTAATTGTGGTCGGGGTCATGATC